ACCTCATAAATCAAGTGGCTCCCACACTCAAATGCAAAGAGGCAAGGTCTCACATTCAGTTATACTCAGAAAAATCCAAATGGATTTTACTGACTACAAGAGAGACTTGGGTAAGAACAGGTCTTTAGGATTTTCACAGCTGGTTTCAGCACCTGCCAAATTTCTCAGATGCTGCAGCACTATGTTCAGTGTGGTTCAGCCTCATCGAGGAACAACAGTCTGCTTCTTGGTCTTTTTAATAATTGCTGGTTAAAAGCTGCTTTTAGAAACACTGGCAGATTCATAAAGCTGGTACAAATTGTGCCTTGGAGGACTGGCTGTGGCCATGGTGGTGATGGGAAGGAGAGAGCTGAGGGGCTGCAGACCTGCCTGGTGTGTGCGAAACCCCACAGCCACTTTTTCTTCCCTCTGTACCCCAGGCAAATCCATTTCTGCTCCCTGCTTGCCTCCCTCTACTTTTTCTCATTACTGAAGTCTCATGGAATTTTTCTTTTAAATCATGTTTTTGGAAACTCCACCTCCTCTCAACAGCAAACGGCTACTGTCCCCATCACATTAGTGCTGTTATCTTCTCTTTAGCAAGGAAACATTCTGTCTGCATAATTTTGTGACTACACTTTTGGATCATGTTAAAAGTCCCAAATTATCACTTGCTGGTATTTTTTATTTTCCATCAAAAGAGGATATATGTCATTAATTGATTTTTCTCCTGTTTTTCTAAGGAATTAAATGAACCTGTAGTCACACTCTTGCCTAGAATTGCATGCAGAGAACCACAGTACAAACAACAGCTCTAGGTAAAAAAAAAAGTATTAAGAAAACAGTGGCAATGACAAACTCACACATAGTTATGAATGAAGGCTGACCACTGCTGTTTTTAGGAAAGAGGTTGGTGTCCTTCGGCCTGGGAAATGAAAGATCAATAAGAGAACACAGGTACCTAAGGAGCAAGCTACCAGCTCAGTGGGGATCAGTGAGAAAATTATCAGCAACAGGGACACTGAGATTTAGGATGAAGTATTGGCTACATTGGTTCCTGATACCCAGCTTTGACCATTTTGGATGTCAGTGATGTACCCCAGTGACATATCTTGAGATGAACTTGTGATCTGCTGAGACCACATAAGTGAAATAGCTGACGTCTAAACACTAACCTGTAGCAAAAGCACTTAACATGATAGATAAGGATTTTCCAGACATCATGATCATGACTGTAATTGCGTCTGAGATGATACGTGGGTGAGGAGGACTCATCCACCGGTGACTAAAGCTCTGCTGGCAATTCATGATCTGTGTCTCAGATGTATAGCACTGGCAGATTTAGGCTGTGTGTGAAGGCTAAAGCAATGCTGTGAAGGTATGGAAAATATGAAGCCTAATTATCATGGCTGTGATGACCCATAAGAATAATTTCCAGCACATTCATTGCCTAAACCACTAATAAAATGGGTAGTTGTAGTACTGCAGGGAGGAGGACACAGAAAGCAAGAAAAGGATGAATGGCACATTTAGGGCCAGAAGCGAATACGGTGCTTTTATCAGTGGAGCTCACATGTATGCTTGGTATAGGGGTAATCAGTTAGCTGGGTAGAGAGTGAATAATAGAGGTGTTAGAGAAAATGATAGGGCAAAAGTGGCCCAGTACTTGGTAGTGCAGAGGGCATGAGGATGTTATGTGGGAGCATGTTTCCATAATTAAAGGGAATTGAGAACTCGGACTAATTTGGTGTGCGTGCACAGATGGCTGCATCTGCTTTGGCACACAAAAGTGCGCTGTGCCCGGGGACATGTACTCTGCCAAGTGCCCACCGAGCGCTTCCCAGAGAATCGGAAACCCAGCACAAAGTGTTCTGAAATGACACCACTGGATGTGAGGAGCTTCAGCTGACAGCACAAAGCAGCTGGGAAGTTTAAACCTTGCTTAAAAAGCCTCTGCAGTCACCTGAAAGCCCCGCTCAAGAGCTCTAAAGGGAAAGAGAGTTTTGAGTTGTCTTTAAAGTACTTAAGTCTATCGCTATTACACTGGCAGCTGCTGCAGTGCAGCTGGATCAGATCTGTAGAGTGAAGGAGATGGAGCTGACATCCACACTGCATGCAGGGGGTTCACTTCAGCAGGGTAATTCCCCCTGTAGTCTCAATGCTGGCTGGCAGCTGCATGGCATGTGAGGTGGAGAGCACCTTCAGGCATCATTTGTAAGTGAAAGCTCATTCACTTGCTCCATGAAATGAGCCAGAGAAGTAGGGACCGCCTGCAGTTTAAAACACACTCAGGATGCAAACTGAACAGCTGCGATAGGCATTAGCTGGAAGTGAGATTTTGGGCAGCATCACAGCCAGCCTCCCAGAGGTCTCCCAGAGACCACCAGGATGCCAGCCCTTCATGCATCTCCAAGGCACTTCCCAAGTGCGTCAGAAAGGGACAACAAAACGCTGGTGAGAAGAGAGAGGTGAGAAGACAGCCTTCCCTTCTGCCTCCCTGTTCCCTAGCGAGCGCTGAGATGGGAAGGTGGAAGAGCAGACTGCTTATCCTCCTCCTCCCCAGGGGAGCTGAGCCCCCATTTACTGCCTGCTTGGCAGATGCTCAGACTGTCAAAAACTGGGGGATATCCTGAGGTGAACTTCTATTGATGTGTATTACTTTGAACTGATGAATATTTCATTACTGGAGAGAAAGAATATGAATCAATAATTCAGGAGTAAGGAGAGGGAAAGAGCTGAGTTTGAACCACTGCTAGAGAATACATTTCACTTTAAAATGCTTCCCCTTTAAAACCCTGTGGTTTCTTCAAAAGACCACCTTAATTACAGACACCTACATCTACAGACACCAATAAAATCTTAAATCCAGTAATACTCATTAGAGAAGCAACCATCCCTTGCCCCCATGACTCTAATCAATGAGCAAAATTTAAGATATGGTTTCAAAACAGGATTTTCTGCTGCCTTTAGCAGGTGTGAGAATTGAGAACGTGGAAATGCTGGTTGGAGGGAACTTCTGGAGGTCATCCTTGACCCAGCCTCCTGCTGGAGGCAGGGGAAGAGAGAAGGGAGAGAAAATGGCATTAGGAAATCCTGGGAGAGGAAAGAAAAAACAACAGTTAATTGAAAGATATTGAAATAATTGCCATAAGATAAAGCCACGAGTAGGGAAATATTGTGTTCACTTGCATCAGCAATAATATTTCTGCTCTTATTTCATTTTAAATTAAGAGTGCATGAAAAAGGAGATGAAGGATTACTGATACAGGAAAAAATAAAATCTTAGTTTTCCAATGAAGCAAAACAGATCATTGCTTCTAAAGCATTAAGTTGAGATCTCAATTTCCAGTTATAAGTGTGAATTTCTGGAATTTCAAAGGGATTAAAATAGACACATTTTGGCAAAACCACACCTGTTTGCGTGAAAATACTGGTTCAAACAATTAACTATTTGAAAAAAAAATTGAAAAAAAAGTTTTGAAATTTTTGAAATGTATGGTTTCCAAAAACATACATTTCAAACCAAAATGCTCTGATATGAGGATTAATTATAATATATAATTATATAAAACTTTACAGACAGTTCTCAAATGTGCAAAATGGTGGTATCAGAATGAAACATTTTACCTCACTGCTCTTTTTTTTTTTTTTATGTGGATTGAAGCTATTTTGTTTTGTTTTGTTTTCCTCACAAATTGCACAAAATATTTTCCCAGCCTGCGCCTTTCCTTTGTGTTAACTTGTCCAAGAAGAGGAACGTGTTGTGTTACTGTAAGCAGCACAACATTACACTGATGCACCATTGTGTCTATGTATAGCACTCAAAACATTTATCCTGTCCTAAAGGGAAAGAGATTTTATTATTCTGCTTTTAAGTACAAGACTTAATATTGCCAATATGCACAAGAGCAATAACAGCTTTTGCAATCCCTTTGTACAACTTGCATTGCTGTAAGCGCTCATTTGTTCAATAAGTAGCAGAACAAAGACTGGAATATCTCCTCTGATCTCCTTAAACAATTAAAGGTGGCCTGAGGTGTGTTCATTTTGGTGCATGAGGACTGCAGGAGAAGTACAGACATAAGTAGGTTAACTTTAAGCTGACAGGGTGGGCTTAGTTATTAAATAATTAAGTTTGCAAATAAAATCCTTACAAAACTCCAACTAATTTCAGCAGCATTGGATTTCACCCTGGGTGCTTTCACATAGGGTACATATTTCTTTTTGCATCGAAATAAAAAGTGAAGGAAAACAGACATTAGGTAGTTCAATATTTGGTACAGCTGAGAACAAGCCCATACACTTATGCACTAGCTTACAGCTTCCCAATGTCATACTTTATCCACTCCTCATGGAAAAGCTCAGGGGTCTTAGCAGGAGGCGGTGAGCTAGAAGAACATATATCTGGTATGCTGCAGGATCAAGCCCTCCACATCTTTGTGGAAAGACCTGCAACATGTAGGTATACAGGGGAGTAGTGCCCATGGGTGATTTGTTATGTAGTTCCACTCACAAAAAGCAAGTCGCTATTTAAGGGTGAACTGATCTCAGTTAATTTTAGGCATCTTCAGTAGACATGCCAGTGTAGACCAGGATCCACACCCAGCCTAGTGCTGTTGAAGCCCTCTCAGACAGTCACTTCATTCTTTTATAAGCAATGGAAAGAAAAAGGCACTTTTGGTGTGCAGCTCATCTGGCCTGCTTTAAATGCCAGCCATCCCGAGCCACAACCCCAGTGGCAGTGACAAGTCCTCCCCTGACTGCACCACAACCACAGCTGCAGGCTCTGACACTTACACCAGTCTCACTTTGTCTATCCAAATGGATAGGCTTCAAATTAAGAGAATGAGACCAAAAACAGCACCAAACTTCCAGTTCTTTCTCTGGTTTTCCCAGATCCTTGAGCATCCCCCTCAAGGCTGGGGGAGCTGCTATTTCCCAAGGGTCCTCCCTGCCTCCATGACTAAACTGCACCTTGTGTGCATTTCTTTTCACATAGTTTCGGTGGCTTTCCTTTGCAGATTCATTCACGGGACTCATAAACATAATGACCGACATCATCTGGCGCTACACGGGAGATTTCATGGCTCCTGATATCATTTGCAGAGTTGTCCGCTACTTACAGGTACAGGAACCACATGGTCCGCTGTACACCCAAGCTCACATGGCTTTGTGTCCCCACAGCAATAAAACCAAACAAAATGCTGTACAGACATTTTGCTAGCATCAGAAACGCTGAATGCTAAAGATATTCATTTAAAATTTAAACATTATTATTTAAAATATATTAAATCCTTTAAATTTTGTAGACCAGAAAAATATTGAGGTGAAAATATCTCTCCTCTCCTCTCCTCTCCTCTCCTCTCCTCTCCTCTCCTCTCCTCTCCTCTCCTCTCCTCTCCTCTCCTCTCCTCTCCTCTCCTCTCCTCTCCTCTCCTCTCCTCTCCTCTCCTCTCCTCTCCTCTCCTCTCCTCTCCTCTCCTCTCCTCTCCTCTCCTCTCCTCTCCTCTCCTTTTTATTTTTTTTTCCCATAAAAGCTTTCATATATTCCTACAATATCCCTAGATCAGTGTTATAGCTGGTGTTATTTTCTGCAATAAATGTGTCTCGTTTCTGTCTTCTATACCTTCTGCCCCAGGTGGTCCTCCTGTATGCTTCAACGTATGTCCTCGTGTCACTAAGCATAGACCGGTATCATGCCATAGTTTATCCAATGAAGTTCATGCAAGGAGGTAGGAGAATTTCCATGCCTTGCTGTTGCTGTGGATAGTATTGGCTAGTTTCATTTTACTAGGAAAGTTTTCAAAATTATTAACCTTGTGCCATGAATTATTTATTCCTGCTGTAGCAATATTTGGACTCTGCTACATTTCTCCAAATGGCAAAAGAGTTGTGGCTTCAATATGTATAAAGCTGCACTTAGCCCTCAGCAGTTTTTTATAAGCTTTGTGTTAGTGAAGAATGAAATGACATTTTAAAAACTACAGGGGTTTCGTTATCTTCCAGCATTTTGAGGAAAGTATTATGGGCAAAAAGGTATCCCTTGTACAGCTAGACTGTCTCTAGGAGATACAACTATATTACCTATTTATTCACGTGAAAAAAAAAATTAAAAAATTGGATAGAGGCTATATAGTATTGAGAATTGATATGACTGCAATAAGAGAACTTTAAAAATTATAGCAAATAAGTTAGGATATTTTTCTGTTTTAAAATTCCATCTGTTATTTTTGCAGCACTCAAATACACCTTGTCTGCTTAGCAATACAATTTAAAGAATGTGAGTTCTTTCCTACAGAGCTTAAAGTCTGAATTTAAGAATGCTGCACTGAGTGAAAAATATTAATAGCAGGTGAGGTGGAAGGGGTACAGTTACGAGAGCCATGGTGGCTCGAAGATGCATTGCAATCAGACAGAAATATTATTTTTTTTTCTGAGTAATGATGACTTTTGACAGTCTGCTCTATTCAGGGGATCAGAATAATGGTCCTCTTTGGCCTTAAAAATCTATGAATCCATCACAGCCCAGGCAGTGGTGCAGCTCTGGCAGATTCTAAGGCCTGAAAACTTCAAATACTTGAGTGAAGTTCAACCTAATATTCCCCAGCATGTGGACTGACTTTTTCAAAGCGGGGAGGATTGATACCAAGTTTTTATATCAGTGGGCTTTTGGATGCAATTTGCTCTGCAGCTCCCACAGCCTTGGGAGCTGCATAAACCACCTGAAACACTGGCTGCTGGCCGAGCAGGGCTAGCTACCGGACAGACTCACTGTTATTTCTTCTTCAGGCACAGGAGAAAAGTAACGTTGTTAAACTACTTCCTGGGCTTAGTAAAGAATTTTTTCAGTACATTTTGCCAACCATTTTGATGTTGATCCATGAACTTTTGTTGTTGTCGCTGCCATGGAAAATTTGGTAAAGGTTAAAGAACAAATTGCATGCAATAGCTCTTTTTCTTTTTCCCGTATTTGAAGAGGGTTTTCTTCTCCATCAGACTCTTCCTACACTTGGTGGGATGCAATCCTCAGAGATCGCAAACCTCATCCTGCCCCACTACAGCGCAGGTCACTCTTTCTGTGCCCCATGGTGTGCAAAAATGCTCTTTGCACTATTCCTCCAGCCAAAGATACCTGGTCAACATGGGGCGTACAGGAGCTGAGCAAAGGGATAATAAGCCTAGGAGGATTAACAAGCATGCCTTCTTCCCTTTATCACCTTTACTGGAGCCCAAGTGGTTCAGGGTGATTTGCTAAGATCTGGCATGCCAGGAAGCAAGAGGGGACTTGATGAGCACCGTCTGCCTCCAGCAGGGCTGGTGCCACCAACAGATGTCTTTCATGGAGCGAAGATCATGCAGCTACCTGCCTATCTTCAATGGGAAAAAGGAGGCAGTGGTAAATGCAGAAGAATGATCTAAGAAGGCATATGTACCACAGAGACTTCTTGAAATATATGTTTATATACACTAGCCTTTTGCACCTGGCTGTTCCTAGCAGAGGTGCCATGTGTGCAGCTCTCAGGTGTCTTGCAAATGGAGAACAAAAAGAGTTACAAGACTTTGTCATTGGTAATGATGCAAAGAAATGCTAAAAACCATTCTGAGTCAACTAGTAGAAAATGACACTTGTATATTCTGTCCAAAACCAAATACTCATCCCCCAAAAGCCTTCAGTCAAGAAACAAAAGAGTTGTTTCTCTTTACTCTGTTTAGAAATAATGTAACCTTGAAATATCATTTCAGGGAAAAAAAAAAAAAAGTCCATCGTTTTGTTTAGAAAATGTCAAAAAATTTTAAATACATACACGTGTTTAATTACTAGCCATGAGTTATTTTATAAAAAACATTTCAATGACGTATTTTTCTTGGCTTCTAAGGAGATAAAATGGTTAAATATTTTATACTCACTTTGCAAATACATACATGACCACAGAAAGCACAGGATAGGGAAGAACTATAGTTTCTAATTCCAACACTTGTATTGTACAAGGCATCTTGTTCAACAATAAAGAAGCTCGTTAAAATAAATAAATAAATCAAGATCGAAGAGTAAAGAAAGTGAGAAGTTATGGCAGAAGACATTTCATATACTGAAAAGATATACATAAGTAGTGTGCAAGCTAACAAGCAGGAGACAACAGAACTGCTTAAATAAAAGAACCCAAATAGGTAGAAACTGTCCCTTGCACAGCTTTGGGGTGCGAACGCTCCAGTCCACTAGATCATTGAGATCATAACTCTCTCCAGACTTAAAAACTAATTTTAAAATAGCACTTTCTTGGTGAAAGGATTGCAGCAGGGTGGCAGTAGGAAGAAAAACTCCCCCCAGAAGGTGCTTCTCCTCCACATGGAGCTGAGAACAGACAGATGTGCATAAAAAACACTGCTGCAATATACAGATGGAAGAAGCAAAAGGGAAGGGGACATGAACAGGCCCATTAGGAGAGTCAGTACAAGAGCTTGTGACAGATTCCTGCTAATGCTGGATGTTCATCTTGACCATTCCAGCAATGAAAACGCTCCATATAAAGAGCAATATTATGTTTAGAGGAAAATACTGACAGGGGTGAATAGAATATCATACAGAATATTATATAGAATATTATACAGAATATTAGAAAGCTGATATTTATTTGATTCCATCTATAACTTATTCTATCTATAACTTATATAACCCTAGTTACAGAATTTGCTAGCACTTGGAACATACTAGAGCATTTGCAAAAATAAAATAAAAATAAAAATAATAATAATTAAAAAAAAAAAAACTGCTTATGAGGCAGATGATTAACATTAACCCAATAAAAAAAAATCTATCCTTATGCTACCAGTAGCCTGTAAAGCCCTTTAGACTAGCAAGGTGATTTTCTACCAAATACAAATAATGTTTTAAAAAAAGAATAAATGAACATTGCAGCTAAAGTTTTACAAAACATGTAGATAAAATAACGCTCTTGCCAAGCACAAATTGCCCACTTCACTTCAAATTAAGGGTGCAGCTACACAGTGCAAAAAATAAGGTATGTTATCCACGAATGACCTTTCCCCCTTATAAATGGACACTTGGGCCCTATTGAGGCTTGTAGCATGTTGTTTAAGTAGCTTCCTCACCACCTAAAAGCATTTTCTCCCAGGAGATATTTTGTGAAGCTCTTAATATTCCTCTTGTGAAGTTTATTCTGTTATGCTTTGGGAAACTTTATGGTTCTCCTCTGCTTGTGCAATATTTATAGACTTAATCTAACCCTCTCCCTTATGTGGATGTCATCAAAGTTCCCTTAAGCCCTGGATTAGCAAGACCATATTTTGCTGAATGTGGGTAGCATTTAAGATGAGCAGGATAAATTCATATTTGCAAGTGATGTTTTATAAAGCATAAAATTACTTTTTGAATGCTTCTCCCACATGCTTTTATATTGCTCTTTCAGCTTCAAGGAGAAAAGATGTTCTTCTTGATATGCATAATTTAAAATGATTTTCTATTTTCACACACAACTCCAGGTATTTTTTAGACAAGAAGGACAATAAAATATTTTAGCACCAAAGCTTCCCAAATCAAAAACTTGTCCCCATATGTTTCTCTAGCAATATGACTCAAGGAGGGGTGAATAACTGCTGATGAGAATCACTGGTGATCCATAGATCAGCCACTCCTCTCCATACTTTTCAGTTAGAGCTACAAGGATTTTACCTATGCATATTTGTCAAAATTAAATATTCAGGGCTCTTTGCTCCAACATGTTGATTTTTACAAAATTCCATAGGAGCCACTGGGCATCATTTGGTTTTCTACCAGTTTTCTCTATTTGGCAGTAGAGGAGGACAGAAGAAAGGTGGAAACAATAACCCAAATCTACCAGGTATTTTGGGATCCCTGAACTTCCATTCCTCACCATGAAGTCCAGCAGGATCTCTTAGTGGATGGCTGTTGCGGCAGACAAAGCAGGGCTGAGCACTCAAGCACTAGCCCACAATCCTGTTTCTCTGTTGCATGGTTAGCTGCCCACCCTTGGTGTGGTTGGGCTTGTGTCCATCAACTGGAGCTGGGTTTGGTCCCCACTGTGCCATCGGGAACTGCAGGACATGCCTGGGCTCTCCAGCATCACTTCTCCTTGGGGCAGTAGAGTTTCAGCCGGGGTCAAGAGCAGATGGCTGTGCAGTTTTGTTTCCACCCTAAACAGATGCGTTTTCTATATCCTGAGAGGGAATATTTTTTGAGTTTTCTCTCTACAAGGTACATCAATACGTTAATTTTCCATTCCAAGGAGGACCTTTCACCCCTCCAGTATATCCAGTACACTCCAACCCAGGTATATTTTAAGTAGCCCTTCCTGGTCTCAACCTTCCTCAGTTACCTGTAGCACAAAGGCTCCTTCTTTTCCATCTGTCTTCATACTGACCTCTGTTTTGCTGTGCCCAGGTACAAATGTGCATCAGGGCAGGCTTGACATCCCCTGCACTCATTCATAAAGTTGCCTTGGTGGCCAAGAGGAATATTTTACTTCTCATGTTTCTGACTTGCTGACCCTCACCCATGCCTTTCACATAGCATTTCAGATTCAATGGGCCCAAAGAATATTGAAAAAAAATGATAACTAAATGACTTTTTACCATAAGAAAGAAATGAACCCCCACACTCCCTTGCACTCTTCTCAGCACCAACTGGCTTGACTGAAAACACCTTTCTTCACACGGTCTCTGCTCCTCCCCACCTTTCTCTCAGTTCTGCTTCAAAGGGACAGCCTCATTGGCAACCCCAATAACACTGTCTGTTTGAATCTGTTGAACAGAAAGACAGGCGAAAGTTCTTATTGGAGTGGCCTGGAGCCTCTCTTTCCTGTTTTCGATTCCGACTCTGATTATTTTTGGGAAACGGCAGCTCTCCAATGGGGAAGTGCAGTGCTGGGCTCTCTGGCCCGATGACTCCTACTGGATACCCTACATGACGGTGGTTGCTTTCCTGGTGTACTTCATTCCTCTGATCATTATCAGGTAAGCCTGCTGGTGGGAGTGCATGGTGAAAGCTGTCAAGCATGCAATTGTCCTAATGCTTTATTTTCACTCATTCATTATGGTTTCATTTCAACACCTGCCTTATAGCGGCTTCGGTTTGCATCATGTAATGCACGGGCCGCTGTGCTTGCCCTGGGTGCTCTCCATGCAGTATTAATAGTTGGGAACATTCTTTCTGAACAAGGATTGAATCTCTAAGTATGTCCACTTATCTCTACAGCTTCAGGCTTGAAATACATTTTTGAAATTATCTTGAAATATCTTGAAATATATCTTTATAAATACAGTATGAATATCTAGCTATTATGACAAAACATCATTTTAATAAAAGAACAGAAACCACACTTAGACTAATTAAACTGAAATTAACTTAAAGTGCTCTCAAGTTTCATAGTACTAAAAGAGTGTTTCTTCATCGGGGTCAGAAAGAAATCCCTAAACATCTGAAGCTGTCAAACACTGCTAAAATACAAAGAAATTAAATTCTTCACATTCTGTAATGGGAAATTTGAACAAAGGTGATCTGCAGCAGAATCTCCTTTTAAACTGAGCTCATCCTATATCCCAAACTGTGCTTGGTGATCAATGAATTTATTGCCTTCCTCTCAGGTGCTGCCATTAGCCAACATTAAACAAAAATGATCTAGCCCTGAGGAGCTACAGGTTGGAACGAGCAGACAAAAACTCCCGTGGAAGGGGAGTGCAGCTTTGTAACTAACAGCCTTGAAAGGCTGCTGGTGGCAGTAATTTGTGCTCCCACTGAAGACATATTCATCACCTCTCTTTCCCTTATGTTCTCTTTCAGTAGCAAGATTCCGATAGAATTTCTTCATGTCAATCTCTTCTTCTTACTGGTAAAGGTGACTTGCTGGGACTCCTTTTTTTTTCTGCCTTCTTTTTTGGTGACACCTTTTTTTTGGTGACAACTACTTGGGCTATGAGAGAGAAGCTCTGTTTGCATGCTTGTCAGACATCTCTCTTGATAATTCTGCTTTTCCAGTGGGTCTGAGACTCCCAGCATGAGTCTCATGGAATCATCTAGGTTAGAAAAGACCTTCAAGATCACCAAGTCTCTATTAGATTCTTGCTCATTAACACTTCAGGTGGGAGCAGGGGGGATGCTGGTCTTTTCTAGGTGATGACAGGACAAGCTACATAAGGTAAATATTAAAAACTGTTCCATGGTTTTAGTTCCTTTCCAGTTGGGTGATACCTTTAAGTTTTGTGAAGTTTAATCATAGAGATTAATTTCTGCAGCTTCTAACAGAAACAAATTTATCGCTGATAGAACCAAAAACATGGGAACAAGGAAATTATGGTGCTTGAATTCATCTACCTGACTTTTTAGTATGGTTTCAACATTGACCAGTGTTGCTCCATAAAGAGAAGGGATGACTTCTATATTTTGCTTATAATGCATCAGTTTGCTAAACTTTCCATTTTTGTGCAGAATCCACAAAGAACAAGGTCATTAAAATTTCTCCTTAAAGAAATGGCATCATAGAATAGAGAAAAACAGCTTCTAGGTTATCCAATTGCTCTTTGTTCTTAGACAGGATCATTTCTCTGTATTTTTTTTTTCCTGTATCTTAAAGCCTGACTTGTTCTAAATAAACCAAAAAGTATTCTTGGGAATAAGTAAAAATATGGGTGAATCTGCAGCCTGTTACTGCGGGCAGAAAGAATAAACACAAACACACACCCAAACTCTAATGGTAAAAGCAATAATGCCAGAAAACTTTGAGGCTGGCTATTATTTCTGGAGGAGATTTGTTTTGAAATTTTTAAACAGTTAGCGAGCAGGAAATTATACCTAGCATCTTAAGTGTTTCAGGGAAAAGGCCAGCAGCCTGACAACTTATCTATCATTCCACAGATGTGTAAAACATCTCTTTCATACTCAGACTTACAGATCCATACATTTTCTATGACAGCCAACCCTTCTTTAAATGGAGTATAAAAGCGCCTTTTTTTTTTTTTTGCTAGTGACAGGCAAGCTACGTAGCAACATTTTTTTGCTGACATTACACTCCCTCTCCTCCCTGCCAGAAATGTGTGACTTTTTCATAAGATTGCCCTGACAGCTGAGAGACAAACAAAACATCCTAAAATTTCTGCAGCTTTAACCTTAAGTGACTTCCACATGAGAAGGTTATTGCAGGGCAGGAACCTCAAACACTGACCTCAGGGTCATGGGGCAGAGCCTGCTCCTGGTTCAAACACGTCTCTGATTCAGGGTACACCAGCACAGGCTTTCCCACCTCCCTTCCAGCAAGAAGAAAAATTTTTGACAGGTCTTAAGTGGTGCTGGGTACTAGGAGAACGGAAGCAGGTGGGCCATGGAAGGATGCTTTATGGCCATTTATTTGTTGTCAATTATATTATGTCCTTCAGAATAGAGAGGAATTTCTACAGCCATAGAAAAAGAGGATGATCATCAGATGATCATCAGCAGAAGCATTGTGAACAAATACCACACAGTTTAGAAAGAAGTGGCTATTTTTAAAACCATGTTTTCAAGTTTTGGATATCCAAGCATACAAGTAAAGGTTGCAACATCCCATCTGACACATCTCAGGACTGCTGTTAATGCAGCCTCAAGAGACATCACATATTTCTTTAAAATCATTTGTCAGTCCAGAGGTTTAAAACTGATCCACCTAATATGACTGCAGCATATAAATATTCTGATGTGCAGTTTGCAGCTAAAGAGCAGCAGGAACTGACATTAATGTCTGCAGGGACTCCATTTCTCTGCAAAAGCCCAGTTCCACCACATACCTCCAGATGCTCTTTCAGACTGGTCTCAAACTAGACACGGTTTCAGAGGGGTGAGCAAGAGAGAGGACAGACACAATGTCTGGATGTAGCGGATATGCATCAGTCTGTTGAAAGATTAATTATACAAATGAGAGGTGTTATTTAGTCAAGAGAGGAAGGCATTTTGTGGTTTCTGAATTTAGTGGTCTTTAGATGAAGATGTTACAAAGAATAAAGCTGTAATGTGACAATGGAGAGATGATCCACAAATGTGCAACTGAAAAGTCAAGTAACAGTTTCTAAGAAGCAGGTTTATTCATATTAAATTAATATATAAAATGAATTCATATATGAAATATTAATTTATTGTGAATAAGGCAGCAGTCAAGTACTTAGTGAGGAAGCAAAGCTTTACAGTGCAGGCTCTACACCTTTTCTGCAATAACTCGATTTGCTTACACAGCTCCTTTATTTTCTCTTCTGAAGTACTCTGACCTAACTGCACGGTGGTTGCCCAATGCAATATGGGACACTGTCTGGCAGAGTTAATTCTTAATTAGTTCTGCCACCTGTATCTGCAGAAAGCCTCACCTCTAGGGCAAAACAGTTCACCCACAGCAGCAGATTTTCTGGCATGGTCCATCCAAAGTGCATACAAAGGATAAAACCTTACTTTTCAGCTACAGAAATTAATTCCACACTGATCTGATGCTCTGGTTGCACAGTTTTCTGTTGCTATAACCCAGATACCATTATCTTTTAAACTGCTCTCCACAGAGCTGATTTCACATGCTCCTGGCACAGTCAGTATCTCACTAGAGCTGCATCGTTTGTAACACTGAGGCACAAAGGATACAATATTTAGCTGACAACCTTTATGTTCAGCCCAGAAATCCCTTCCACTGGTGAGCAAACTCCCCAGACACTACGTGAGCAAACCCTATAGAATCCAGGCCAAAACATGAACCATAAGAAAACAACGATCTCCCTTTTATTATTTTTTTTTTTTTAATATATATATAAAAAGGCAATCTGTGAACAAAACACAGTCCTACAACAGTCCTGAAAAATTTCCATACTAGAGAGTTCTGTTCTCACCACCACTTCTTCATAACTAGAGCAATCAGTGATCAAACAGCTTGTGGTTTTGTGGGGAATTTTTAAACCAATTGTAATACAAATGAACAAGATCTGAATAACGGAAAGGGAATGAAAAGCACTAATGAGATTTTTAAACCCAAGTACATGGTTATCTTTGAGAGTTGAGAATCGGGGAGAGCATTTGTTGTTTTCATATTAAAGTTCCACTCCTCTTCTTTAGTTTTGGTCAGAGAGAGCCAAATATCTTGCATCACGTTCTTCCTTATAGCGCTTGAAGATGTGGCTCTAAATAAGAGGGAAGCCTCTTATTTGGGCTACTCTACCACTCTACCACTTTTTTTTTTTTTTTTCCTGCAGTTAATACTGTCAAGCTTCCAAAAAAACAGACTGCTCAGAAAAATAAATTAGGCCACCTGCCTAATTTGTTCTCACCTATTCAGGGACAAGTGTCATAAGTAACAACCAAAGCCATTTCCCCTGCACCATGAAATGTGAATCATATCTCAGAATGGTACCTGTGATACTCAAATACCTCTGGGGCACCACTAAACATGGGTCAGATCAAGATTACAGATTTCCCTCCTGCAAGGGTTTGTACCTGGCCTCTCTGGTTCTGCAATGGGGAGACAGGAAAGTTACTGGGCTTCTGTTCTACGACTCTCTGGTCGGTACCAAAACATAATTGTGTTTTGTCACTTGGATATTCAGAAAGTCAGAGTCTATAAGGGATTGTTCTTTTTAGCTTTTTTTTTTTTCATGAAAGTCAGATATGTTCTCTGTATTTTAACAAGATAAATGCAATATCTAGACATTCGTCTACTATAAGCCCAAATTCAAGTTAAAAAAAAATGCAGAAGTTCCTCTTAAAGCACGGAGGGAAAAAAAAAGTTCATCTGCTGTTTAAAATCAAAACTCCAAAGAGAACATTTGTTTTGGAGTGGAAGAAAAACAGTCAGAAAGGAAAAAAAAATCAGCTGAAAGGAAAAATATGGAACTAAAATTATGGCATCACAATGAAAAGATGAGTAGATGAAATGAAAAGTATTTATCTGAATTAAATCAAATAAAATGAAAAAAATATATTAATAAAAATATCAAAGGTCTTATTTTGAGCTTGATTCAATGAGCACAATCATTTTGCCTGCAATTTCCATTTCAAAACAAAAAAGTCTAGATCTTACACATATGTTCTAATATCTGCCTGTCTATTCAGTTACCCATTACACATGCCTACAATGGTTTGTCTGTATGAAGTTACATAGACTTTTTGTCTTTGGATAAATAGTGCTGTAAATTAGCTACCATAAAACACAATGCAGCTGCTTCCCTTTGAACAATTAAAGTATGATGAACAATAGACAATGCTGGATGATAAATACAAGCAATTAACAAGGAGCTTCAGTGTACTTTTTGCCATTGTAATGGTTCACTTTAATAGGAAATACTGAGCCTGGATGCTATGGGATGCTATGACAATGTAATCAAATATAAAATTAATTAATTAATTAATTAAAGAGCGGGTAGATCTTTAATTCTTATGATTGTTAATATCAATATGCAGTTTTACCAGAGGACATTTTATTTTCCAAAACAGAAGTGATCTAGGAAATACCTTAAGTTAGTTATTCATATGGACAAAGACTGCCAAAATTACCAATGGGGTCAAATTAACTAACGCCAGTAACTAATAACACGCAAAGGTGAACATGCATCTAATTCCTTCAGAATTTAGATCAATCTAAATTGTTTTTGGAGGTGCAATGCATTTAATTTGCTGAGTTACATCATATTCTTATATTTTTCTACCACCTCTATCCATATGCTTCTTATCGGGGATAGAAAAATTATTGCATTTTCATATGAACAGCATGCCCCTTCTATCCTATGGTCTTCACAGCCTGAATGACTCCTTCTCAAAGAGTTTTGGTTTCTTTTTCCATCCAGATGTGACTACTACATCTGATCTCTTTCATCCTTTTCATTAGTCCCTTATTTGAAAATAATAGGCCACAATAAGTCAATAATATAACAATAAACAGTATATGTCAGTATTACAGTATGCATTATGACTACAACACATTTATATAGCACCCAAAAATCCCCAGTTAGAGTTGGAATACCAAGCACTTACAGACACAAAAATACCCAGCATCTGGATCTCCTGTTCATCTGAATACCATCTCTTATCTGTACATCTTTGTTCATCTGACACTTCATTTACCATCAAGTGGGAATTTGTTCCCACCCTTTAAGATGTCACAGACCACCTCTTCTTCCTGCAACCACCTTGTACAGAAAGAAAGAAGCTACAAGTCCATTCTGGGAAAACAAAACTGCTTTTCTCTTGTAATAAAAATACAACTTCTGTTCTGTAAGTGCTCTTTTGTTTTGTTGTAGTTTGGGGGTGGGTTTTTTGTTGTTTTTTTTTTTTTTTGGCTTTGAAACACACACACACACAGGTGCCTTTTTTGACCGTAAGTTTTGGGTGACACATTTCTGGAAAGTTTGGAAAATAGAGATTAGGCAGTAATACCATCTGGAATCCCAGAGAGATGAAGGCATGAAGGCCTAACTGTGGTCACTGGGAAACCAAGTGACTCCTCTTCCCTGACACCCACCCTGAGCACTGCTATGCCACCTCTGGTCTCCTTCCAGTAAAGCAGATTCCCATAGACCCAGCTATAGAGAAAAGAAAGATGAACAGAGGCAAAAATACTAATACAGATTCACTATGTTGGCAGCACTGTAAGAGTCACCAGATTAAACAAGGAATTAATGTTTCTAAAAAATAAGGATTCAAATGGAACAGTGTGTAATCTTACATATGAAATATCAAGTGTATTCTAGGACCGGGAACTACATTGCTTGACCAGTGTGTGAAAAATAAAGTTGGTACAACTGTGTCTTGTGAAAGGGCTGCTCTTACCAGACTGCAGCCAAGAGGGCAGGATTTCAAGGGTAGGAGGGAAAGCAAGCGAAGAGCCTGCCTTCGTAATCCAATCCTTGTGGTACCTGGCTGGCAGGACAGAGTCTGAATATTTTGAGTACAGAGCTGGGCTACTTTGTCCTGGTACTTGGGTAATTCTGAATGTGTCCTGCTGGACACACAGAGATCTTTATCAGAGGGGTTATTGTTCTGACTGCAAATAAAAAGGTCAGGCTAGAGACAGCAGGCTGGAGATAAAATAGAAGCAGGTCTTGCAGAAGCTGGCTGAAGTTTTCTCAAGATAATGACAATTATCATCATAATAGATTCTGATTCATTGGAACAATCAAAGGAGAAATTATACATGAATTTTCAACCATTGTCAGTGCAAAGTACACAGAAACTTTCAAGTGTGTGAGCTGATAAACAAACAGGCTCTTGAAAAGCCAGGAGATAAAAGGAAAATGTTCAAGTCAGCTGGGAGCCATGCTGGATCTTTGAAGGGATTAAGGGACCCAAGCTGGTGTCTACAGCAGATGTATGAAAAATCCTTGCTGGGTGAGTACAGCACTGCTCTGCTGCACAGCCCGGTCTGCACACTGAATTTCCATCTCTCCCTTCAGAGTCTGGGAACCAGATGTCTCAAACCTGCAGAGAAAGGAAACCCCCAAGATGCACAAATACTGCCTTGCAAGAGTGGCTAGGAATTGAGGTTGCTATAGGAAAAGCTCATATATCAGTCTGAAAGCTCTAGTAACAATAATGTCTCTTCTGACAACAAAAATAAGCTGTATGACAGTAAGACATCTTTTTTTTTTTCATCTCTATAAAACACCCTGCAATAATTTCTAGAGCTGCACCTTTTTCACAGGCTCAGTACTATGGTCTGTAGCAATTAATGGTCAGGCTGCCCAAGCTTACCCCAAAACACTATGGTATACTGGCAAATGCCACACGATGACTTCTGTTGTGAAGCTTGGTTTTTATGTCAGGAAAATATGACAACCCAAGTGCATTAGCTGCAATATTTTAAAATTATTTTCATCTTCCTTAGCAGACTAAAGAGGAAGTCACTAGTACCATACTATTCATCATCTTCATATTCCCAAAATAACACCAGAACAGAGCTGGGTACACATCCAAAACAGGTCCCTCCTCTTGCTTCCACCATTTCAGGGTGAGTTCTTTCCTTGAAACTCCCATGTAAAGCACTCATGAACACTTCCCAGTGCAGGACAAGGTGCCTCCTGCCTGGTGCCAGTAACCAGACACGTCTGGTGTCAGACAGCTCAAAATCTCCAAAGAGCTCTCATCTGAGAGACCTTGGCCAAGCCATGTCATTCCTTTGAACTTTGGACTTGACACCTGCAAAGCCTGGACAATGATAACAATCTCCATTGTGAAAACTCTTCAGGTCTGCTTCTGAGAAGTACTTTGGGACAGTCATATTTAATTTGCTATTGTTGTTGTCATTACTATTATTATAATTCCTATGAAGTTCTGTCATCTTTGTGAGTTCCTTACACATCGATAGGTATGTTGACAGAGCATGAATGACCAAGATGTCAGTTAAATTTACTGTGCTTCATAATATCAATGACTCTTTTCCTTCCGTAGCATCATATACTCAATCGTGATTCGAACCATCTGGATGAAGAGCAAAGCTCAGGCTGTCATTATATCCAGCTGCCCTGGTGAGTGTCAGCACACAGGTGTCTCCAGACACATGATTTGAATCTGGTCAGTCCTATCAAATCTGGGAATGCCCACACATGTGGTGTTGAGCTGGGACCCCATCACTGTGGTGGGAATTGGTTTTCTATAACCACTGATTCATCTCTCTCCACACTTTTTCCCTTGACACTAAATCTGCTTTCAAGAAATTATAGAAAACATCTGCAAGGAGAGAATTAAAAGGTAAAAATCTTTATTCTAGAACTCAGAATCCTTAATCTGAGAACTTTGCTCATTTTTAAAATTACTTATTTTATAGCAGACACTTAGATAAAATGTTTGCAGTGTTTTCACATGCCTTTGCAAGTTTGGATTTTGGTCAAGACCAAGGAGTCTGACCACAAATCATTACAAGAACCTCACTTGCCAGAGGACGTTCCTGTTAGTTATGAAGAGAAGTCTGTTCACTTACACTAATCCTTTTTACAACACAACACAAAGAGTGCAATGCACACAACCAGTTAGTACAGCTAAGTGGGGAGTGGTGACACATCAGACCGTGGTGACCAAGTTGCCAATACTTGCCTGAAGTAGGATCATGACTGTTTTAGGAGGAAGTGTCCAAATGCATTGCTGTGCCTACTCAGATATCCTTTCATCATAACCTGACATCTGTTAACTATAATCTTGCAAAGATTTATTCCTCCATTGAAATGCTTGAACAGGACCCATTTCTAATTATTTTGCCTTTGTGACACAATCAGTATCAACTAACCTTGAAAAAAAATGTCATTCTCCTCACCCAAGAGGTATATTTTGCTCTGGAAGTCAAGTAATTTGGAGAAGTATTAAGTATGGACAATTTTCAAGGTTCTCTATGGGATATTTCACTGATAACATGTTTCACTGATAACAAACCCACATTAATTTTATTTACACTTTTTGCTTGCAAATTACAAAGCCTGGATATGCTGTTTTTGTAAGAGGTGCCAAAGGTCATGTACACAGAGTTATTTCCAGTGACATTCATTAAAATTTCAGTTCTCAGCTCGGACTACTGGAGCTGAGATATGTTTTGACAAAAAATAACCTTCCTGTGTATTCACTATGGTGAACCTCATTATTCTCATCCAGCAACATGAGCAGCAAATTGACATTAATAATGAAATCAAGCATATTATTAAAATCATGCTGGTACTGCTATTTAAATACAACACTTGATTCTCATAGACATTAGTGTGGCTTCAGAGGAAATTAGATCAACCAGCCTTGGTGTAAGACTGAATAGAATTTGTTTCTCAATTCAAGGCACATTTCATTTCTGGAAAGCTAGCCTAACAGTATTTCATATTTCATTACTGAGTCAACATGAAGAGTAAAATGCATGACTGATTATCTAAGGCATCACAAAGACTAAGAGGTCAAGGGAATGGGGTATGTAGCTTTCAAAAGCCACCTAACTGAAATGCAGTTAAAAAGTGAACAGGTGGTCTGTTTTGCCAGGTTATCTCTCATGTTTTCTTAACTGCAGTTGCCAGTTTCTTTCAGAAAACTTCTCTTATGACACCACTTTAGCTGCATTTTTGCAGCTGTAATGGCCAATGGTTTTTGTTAGACTGATACTGTTGGGCATGTCATCAGTGTTTCTCCTGACCATGCGCCCAAGTCTTGAGGACCAGGGATATGCAGCTGCCACAAAACTTCAGGAAGATCTCCTTTGCTTACATTTCCACTTTTGATTTTGGAAGGCTTAGGTTTTGAGTGTCCAACTTAAGCAGTCTTGCAAGCATCTGAATTTCAGGAAATACTGAGTCCCTGCTTCCTTACACTAAGGACGTGCTGCATATCACTGTCCTGACTGTGAAAGTGCATGCTGACACATCCACGCACCAGCCTTGTTCTTTCACTAACTGAAATATTCTCTCCCCAGATGGGAAAACCTCCTCTGCTGGCTACACCAGTCGTGGGTTCATATCCAGAGCAAAAGTGAAAGCGATCAAGTACAGCATTGTAATTATTCTTGGTAAGTAAAAACAGAAGAATAAAAGCCTCACAGCTGGCAGCTGGGAAGGAGGGAGGACGATGCTGAAGTTAGGAAGCTGGTTTTCCTTAGCTCCCTCCATCACCAGCAAACAAAGTGCATTAGGTGGTTCAGAGAAGGAGCTTTACTTAAAGCCCTGACTTGCCTTCTGACCGTGTCCCCTGCTCTCCTCTGACTGATAGGATCCTATTTTAGGCACTTGACATACGCCTCAGGTGCAGTGATACGCATAGTCCCTCCTGCATGTAATGAAAGTAAAGGAGGGACATTGCCTAAAAAGAGCAAAGGAAGATGTCGCCTCCTTCTAATCCAGTCTGCTAAGAGAGTCTGAGTTGTCTTCTAGATTTAGAGAATATAGCCTGCATATAAGCTGCTGGGGCAGGGCAGGGAAAGGAAGGAGAGGCAAGAGATACAGAGCAATTGAATTTGATGTCAGAAGCATGTTCCCTGCCAAGGTGGGAAGATGAGCTCTCCTCGCCCAACCAGACCGTGTATGACTCAGTGCAGGTGTCCTCTGTCTCCCAGGGAGATGACATTATCCTGATGGAATTAGGAGGCTGACATTTTATCTCGATAAATAAAGGCAGCGTCACACAGGTCTTGTGATTAGCTGCCAGAGACGGGCTGGGAGGCAGCAGAAGCTATTTACTCCCCAGGGCTGACAACCTTCAGCTACCACTGCAAGAGAGATCATTTCTCTTTCCAACCCTAGGAAATATTCAGATTGATTGATACCATGATAATAGCTACTACTAGAGGTGCTTAGTTCACCAGTTAGCAGTAGTGTCTGTAGACATGAGAGATGCCGGTGTGGTTCATGCCTTTCAGAAGACCAAGAGCATCTTTTCTGTGTGACAATCAGAGAGAGCTTTTGTCAGAACTGGCCGCTACTGCAATGCTATCAGATGTCAAGAGCTCACCAGGGTGCTCAATATTTCAAAGGACCTTGATAACATCAGGCACACAGCATCTCACAATGTGCAAGCAGATTAAGACACCTAACATTCAGGACTTTCTCTGAAGCCACCTAAAATTCTGCACAGTCAGTGCTGTGATCCACATGCTGTCACTGTGCTTTTTTGTTTTGCTGGTACCTGTGCATGGACACCATCAGTTTGGTTACCCTAGAAAAAAGGAGGAGAGCTTACCTCTTCCTCTCACACTCACTGAACATCCTGCTATACGCCAACTTAGAGATGCTGCTTAATATAACAAGAAAGCAAGCATGACTGCTGCTTCTGCTGACTCATTTGCATCAGGGGGAGCACATATGTCTGATCTCACAGAAAACTGAACATTTGCAACCCAGGTGCCTACAATTTATGAGTGACCTGTCTGTCCCATCATTTTCAATAACCTTTGTGACAGGATTTGACAGAAATTTATGAAAAACAGATTCGTTCCCTGTGCCTGCAAATAAAGATAAAACCACGGCCACTTCACTTCTAGCCCCTCCAAACAAAAGCTATGAGCGATGCAGCCTTCTCTTTGCTTCCTCAGATATGCCTCTCAAATAGCAGTACAGGAATCAAGAAAATCTTCCTGCACGCCCCACCTACACAGCACCTCCAACCAGCATGTAAAATGACATGTTGGCCTACTATAATTTGGTGTGAAAGTGCCAGTCCTTGCTGCTGGGTGTTTAAGAGCCTTTTCTTAACATGTGGCCGTGACAGGCAGCATTGCCACAAAGTGGCGCTTTGGTGCTGTGTGCTTTTAGACTTGCTGCTCACTCAGGGGACCCTTAAAAGAACACTTCTCTATAAGTGATGATGCTTTAACTGGCTACCTATTTACCCTTTACGTGTTGTGCAGTGTTCAGAGTGCCTCGATATGTCTAGAGGGAGCACTCTAAACACTTAAAGGAGCACACATAATCTTTTTTTATGGGCATTAAAATAAAGATAAAGACAAATAGAAACACAATCTAATAACTATTCTCTTAAATAAGACCCTGAATAGGGAGAGATATTTCTTGCATGAACAAATATTTATGTGTTATGACAGTCTCTCTATGTGTGTCCGTGATTAACTCCCTAAATTGCTATACTATCTAACGTCAAGCTCTTCCTCTGCCTCTGTTGCAGCATTTGTTCTCTGTTGGAGCCCTTATTTTCTGTTTGATATCCTGGACAACTTCAACATCCTCCCTGAGACCAAAGAGCGCTTCTTTGCCTCCGTGATTATTCAGAACCTGCCGGCCTTGAACAGTGCCATCAACCCCCTCATCTACTGCCTGTTCAGCAACCGCCTCTGCCCGCCCTTCGAGTACTGCTCCTTAAATCTCACCCCCACTATCCCTTAGGAAGGGAGGGAACACATAAACACAGTTGCTAAACTCACCACCTGTTCTCTCCTGTTTTAATCCTGAACATTCCTTATTTTCCTTAGGGAAAGAAGAACACGAAGGCTGGAGGGAATTTTTCGTGACCAAAGTGATGGAGGGCAGGAGATGCAGGTCCTCTCCAAACCAGAATACATCTAGTGTAAACAATGCTCCACATAGCCACACCAGGACCTGTACCAAGGAGGGTGGAGATTTTCCCTGAGAACAGAAGGACACCATGCACAAACCAACCGGACAGAGCCTGTACCTCGCTGTTGTTAAACAGCATGAGTGTTTTGGACCAGCACTGCATCTTCAGCCATTGCATGCCACCAGGACCAAGCTCGCTGCGTGGGGTTTGCATGCCATTTTCATGATGGCTCATTTTGACCATCTGTTTTCAAGCAAGCTGTAACATGTACACACTCCAAATTGGAAAAAATAAAATAAAATAAAACACAATGTAAACAGTGTCCAGTCTGAGTCTTCTGTTCTTCAAGAGCATCTCAAAGCCATCTATTGTACCATGTAACTCACAGAACTAGTAAAGAGTATTTACAAATAATTATGGGAGGAGACCATTCTTAAAATAAAGGCACAGGCACTTTTCCAAATTATAACACACCACTGTCAATTTGCATAATTACATATTGGCTTCACATGCAACCACGCCTTACAATCTCATTTCCAGAGAGAAAGGGACTGCAGGGCTGGGTGGCTGTCCCCTGCCTCTCCTGGCTGTGCTTCTCAGCTCAAGCTGGTCCTCCCATCCACATAGCTCGTGTTCCCCTCCCCTTTTTAAGCAGTCTTTTGGGGATACTACGCTTATACTACCTAAAGAGAGCTGCCACATAGGGCACTCCAGCTGTACAGACTGATCTTGCCACCACACAGCAGCATTTCTCTGTCTCATGCCCTACATATTCACGACACTTAAATCATGGAGGGAATCATGTAAGCTATTAGGGAACTTCAAAGGTGGAGAAAGGCCTGGGTGACATTTTAAAACTCAAATGATGTTCAGGAGAAATTATATGTTGATGGTCCAGTCTTGTTTATTCCTTGTAGGGTCCACAGAGCACCAGCTACCAGGCAGAGCTTTGCTGTAAAACATCCCTAGCTGTTGGGACATCGCAGTATCACAGAATTTTAGGGGTTGGAAGTGACATCCCCTTCCCCAAGCCCCTGGGTTTGAAGACAAATGGTCTCAAATGGGTTTAGCAGGTGGGTGAAGGCTATTGATTTCAACACTCGTTTTACTATAAGGCAGCTTAAAGTGCTTGCATGATAATGCACTCTAACCAGCTGCATGGCATGTTTTTACTCCTCCCTGTGCAAAATTAGCAATCTTACTCAAGTGGAATCTATTTAAACAGCTTTTTTTTTTTTTTTTTTTTTTTTTTTTTAAGTGACTCTACACTGGGTTTGTTCACTGCTAAACAAGAACTGAATAAAATTGATTTAATTACCTACGTAACAAAAAGCTTTTTTCCTAAGTAAGAGATATATAAAATCATGGGACTCTACATTGTCAAGAAAATAAGTAAGGTTTCTCTTTTTATTATGATGAGGTTCTATTACATCTCAGTTTTAATACCAGTTTAATTAAAACCATGAATCCACACCACCCTTCACTGCAGCTACCTTGGATAGATGGTATGTAAGAACTAGACAATATTTTTTTGTGCGCCTCTCATAACATTCCCAAAAATGGACTGGTTTGTTTAAGCTTCATAATGATATGAGCTTTTCTTTGTTCTTTTAATTTTCCATTTGATACAAATACACTGGTTGCCTAATTATGAACATTTAGCAGAGTTCATAGACTTAATAGGAACCTTCTCTTCTCCAGGCTGAACAACCCCAACTCCCTCAGCCTGTCTTCATTGGAGAGGTACTCCAGCCCCTTGATCATCTTTGCCACCCTCCTCTGGACTTGTTCTAATACTTTGACGTCCTTGTGCTGGGGGTCCCAGGGCTGAACACAGCATTCCAGGCAGAGCCTCACGAGAGCAGAGCAGAGGAGGACAATTACCTCCCTCCACTTGCTGGCCACAATTCTTTTAATGCAGTCCAGGATATTGTTGTCTGTCTGGGCTGCAAGCACACATTGCTGGCTCATATCAAGCTTCTCTTATCAATGCACCTAGGTCCTTCTCCTCAGGGCTGCTCTCCAGCCTGTGTTTAGCTTGGGATCATCCTGCCCCAGATGCAGGACCTTGTACTTCGCCTTGCTGAACCTCAGGAGGTTCAGCACACACCCAACTCTGAAGCCTGTCAAGGTACCTCTGGACAGCATCCCCTTCTTCCAGTACATTGGCTTCACCACACAGCTTGGTATCATTGGCAAACTTGCTGAGGGTGCACTTGATCCCACTGTCCATGTCACTGACAAAGATATTTTGCTATGACACAGATTGATTTGTCTTCCACCAAGACTTCTTAAATGTCTCTAAGATTCAAAAGGCATGAATGAATAAAGGTCTCTATTCTACAAGTCACATAAACATTTATACATGAATTGTTTTTAGGGTAATCGGGTCCACAAGTATGATTATAGAAGTAGGCTTATGCAATGTGGCTTTACAATACTAGATATTGCAAATATCACACCCATACTGGTAGCATTCTCTAAGAAGGCCACATAAGCAAAAGAAGTGAAACTAGTACTTATTTTAGTTCAAGCCCTGGTGTCTTAAAAAAAAAAAAAAAAAAAAAAGCTTTACAGTTGTTAAGATTTCATATTTTTTGACACTTCAAGACACAGCAAAATCCTCTCTCAAACCAAGAGCCTCTATTCAAAGCATAGGAACAAGTGGCTCAATAAAAAAGTAACATTTTCAACACAGCTTTGGTGGAGAATTTCTGAAGAGATGAGTGCTTTCAGGCATCACCAGCCTGAGATACCTGAGAATAGTCTCTTGGCATTCACAATGAACATGCTTGTTGGCAAGATGCCCCAAGTTATGAGTCCCTTCAGAAAGTCCTACCCATGCTGTTTGTACAGATTCATTTCATACAAGAACCCAGAAGGCATTACGCTACCTGCCATTTCACTTTACTCATCACAAGGACTGCATGCGCTCTTCAGAAGTACTTGATGAAAACAGAGGAACTACAAAAGAAAGAAATTGCAGAAAGCACAACAAAAAAGTGTATATACATTGTTGTCTTAAATACCTTTTTTTTTTTTTTTTTTTTCAAGTGAGGAATCATTCCATGATAAAAATAAATCACAGCAGAAGCTATCTAACTTCCACCCAACAGCCTAGTGCTTACATGAGGAGAGATTTTAGTTTATTCACCAACCCTTGAAAAAACATGATTGATCTGGGGAGTAGATGCGATTTTTTCTGTAAGGTAAAATATGTTTCATTTTCTTTAGCAAACTGTAATTTATTGTACATAGCATTCAATTTAGATAAGCATTATAGCTGAATGGTTCATCAGATAATCTTCTGTCATGTTTGATGGCATCCTATTCTGAGTATGCATAAATTATGGGGGTAGAGGGTTAGGCATACAAACACAGGCACGAATTTACAAATAGACGTTGCTTATACCTCATACTGACTTACTTATAGTGGTACATAATTAGAAACTCAACTGTTAATTTAGACTCAAGTGATGCAAGGGGCTAAGGGGCTAAAATTCAGCAGCCTTAATAAAGTCAGTAAAAATGAACAGACTGAGGCATCTCATAGAAAGAACTGGATTATCTTTACCACTGGATTAGCAGAAATCTTATGAAATGTACCATCTATCATATATGCTAATAATCAGTTGCATCAATTTCAAGACATTCAACTACAGATTGGGAGCTCGTCAGCTGGAAACATCTGTGGAGGAGAAAGTGTTGGGTGGATCCATAGCTCAGATAGTGCCTGGTTGTTGACAGCAATGCAGGCAGTGGCAGCAGGAGCTAACACGATCCCAACATGTATCTGGTAAAGCACCAGTCAGAAGAGCTAAGGCTGCATTAGCACCATTGTGAGCCCCTGTTGAGACTACTCAGCATGAAACATGAAAAAGAAGGGACATGGAAAAAAAAACAGCCTGTGGTTGTGGCTTGTTGGGGCTAGTAAAATGGAAAGCAGAAGAGGGATATTTATATTGACTGGTAACACATCTGGAATGTTGACCAAAGAAAAGGAGCAAGAGAAGAGAACTACTTAAGTAAGTGATACATTTGCCACAAACACCACCCCCTAGAATAATTTTACCATGAATAAATTTGAATAAATTTGGCAGACATAATTATCAGCTTGTTTAAATCTTATTGTATGAGTCAGTAACAAACTTTTGGGGAATAAGACTTTTCATTTTGTGTTATGGCTGTTTATTGAGATTTAAACACAAGGCAAAGCACACATCTTTGTGCTTTACATAGAAGGGAAGGAGAGGAAGGTGTTGGTTCCTCTCATTTTGCATGAAGCTAATGGCCATACCTTTGCAACTGTGCAGCAAGGAGATCTAATATGAACAATATCAGTAGGGGACATTTATTTGCAGACATCATATCTTCTGTAGTCAAACTGATGAAGCTGGAAAAGCAAACTAACTTTCAGATGTGCACACTCTCACCATCTCTGCTGTACCAGCTCACATCACAGGTTTTAGAAAAGTACAAGGTAGCAGCTGACCCTTTTGCTGATGCTCAGACTTTCAGGTTGAGCCCAATACTGATGGTAACATACTTATGCAAATATTACTCTTTGAAGCATAATCCTCTTTCCTCTTTGCGTGAGATACCATGGCTCATGCCATGCTAGAGGCTTGCATACAACCCAGCCCCCTACACCTGGTTGTAGCTGAGTTGCCACTGTACTGACTTCACACATGCTCATGGTTCCGCAAAGCAGTGATTGAGAGCCTGCAAAGTGGCACACGTTTATGCATGACTGCACCTCCTGGACAGTACAGACTAATGCCAAACGAAAAATTCATGTAGCTGTAAATTAACAAAGCATCCCTGACTTAAAGGATTAGGGTCCCTTAAGTGTATTACACAGAAAATTAAAGAGAAGTCAGACTCTCTTGATCACACTAAAAGCTAAAAGGTACTTTATGAAGCTATCGTAGAGCAAAAAGACTTTAAAGTGATCAAACAGGAAAATATCACTAAGTAAGTCCCATTTGGAGTCCATAGCTTAATCTCCTTATTTGGGAGAGAAAGATTACTGCAAGAGAGTTTTTAGAAACCTAGACAGGGGAATTACTGATTTGCATAGACATCAGGTAGGTGGAAGAAGTGTGCTCAGTGTTGATATGCTACCAAAATAACAATTTAAAGGTGACTGCTTAGCACTGTTCATAAAATGACACAAATGTAGAATAATTCATGGAAGAAAAGCAAATGCAGTCACTCTTTCAGAAATACTTGGAAATTCACCTGAATCTCTCCTAGAGAATGGGCAGTTAACATGGTTATTCCCATGGAGCAGGGTGTAGAATTATCTGGGAATATTTATTT